CAGTGGCGCCAGTCGCGTCTTGCAGATGCGAAGGCGGCCCTGGATGAGGTTCTGGCGGCGGCGGAGGTTGAGGCACGCGCCGTGGTGCGGGCGCAGCTGGGTGTTTCCAAGAAGGGCGGCAAGAAGGCGGACAAGACGGTGCAGAGCGAGCAGCAGCAGCAGCAGGGGCCGGACGCTGGCCATGAGGATGTTGCGGTTGCAGACCCGCAGGCGGCTGCTTCGGCGCTGCTGGAGGTATTGGCGTCGCTGCGCACCAGCCTGTCCAAGCAGCCCGAGCGGCTGATGGCGGCGTTGATGCTGCTGCACCCCGAGGGTTGCCAAGCCGCTGCATCCCCTGTGGAGCTGTCGCTGGTGCGCCGCGTGCTGTCTACTGCCGTTAAAATGGTGAACCTAAGCAGCGCGGCGGCACAGCCGACCGGCGCCGAAGCCCGCCGCATCCTGGGCTTCTTCGTCACCTCCCTCGCCAACCGCCAGTTGGGCAAGCCGGCGCCCGTGGCAGCCATGACCTCTTGGACGGTGCTTACGCCCATGTACGCGGAGGACGTGCTGTTCCCGCTGGAGGCGCGCACGGCGGCTGAGGCGGTGGGGCTGGATGTCAGCGGCAAGGGCGACCTGTCCTCCGCGCTGCCCGACCTGCTCACGGAGACAGAGGAGCGTGTGTCGTTGATGTCGTACATCCGCTCCATGTTCCCCAAGGACTGGGACAACTTCAAGGAGCGTCTGGGCGCCAGCCTGGGTGGCCTGGACCTACGCAACGTCACGGAGGCGGACTTCGCGGAGGGCGGCGCGCTGGCGGAGCATGCGTTGGCGCTGCAGCTGTGGGCCTCCTACCGTGGCCAGCTGCTGGCGCGCACCGTGCGCGGCATGGCGGCGTATGAGCGCGCCCTGCGGGTGCTTGCGGCGCTGGACAGCCCGCGCCCTGCGGGGGTGAGCCGGCGGGAGCACGCGGCGGCGGTGGAGGACGTGGTGGGCGCCAAGTTCACGCACGTGGTGGCCAGCCAGCTGTACGGCAAGAACCGCCGCTCCACCAACCTGCGCGACCGCTGGCAGGTGGAGAGCACGGACGTCCTGCTGGAGGCGTTCCCGCACTTGCGTGTGTCATACTTGGACGAGGTTTCGGCGGCGGAGGTGGAGGCGCGCAGGGGCGGTGTCATGGCCCCGAATGCGCCTCCGGAGCACCAGTATGCGGTGCTCATTCGCGGCCGGCAAAGCGGGCATGAGCGCACTGAGGAGCTGTACCGGGTCCGTCTGCCTTACAACCGCTACAGCAAGCGCGGCGTGATCCTGGGCGAGGGCAAGCCCGAGAACCAGAACCACGCGGCCATCTTCTGCTTCGGTGAGGCGCTGCAGACCATCGATATGAACCAGGACAACGCCCTGGCGGAGGCGCTCAAGATGCGCAACCTGCTGAAGGAGCTGTCGCCCGAGCTGGACACGCGGGCGGCCAGGAGGGCTGCGGATGCGCTGCAACAGGCGGTCAAGGGGACCTCGCTGCCCCCTGCTTCTGAGATGAAGCGGCTGCTGGGTGGTCTGCGCAGTACGGAGCGGCCCGTTGCGGTGGTGGGCTTCCGCGAGTGGGTGTTCAGCGACAAGGCGGGTGCGCTGGGCAGCTTCGCCGCCAGCAGTGAGTTCGCGTTCTCCACCATGGTGCAGCGGACCATGGCCTACCCCGCCAACGTGCGCCTGCACTACGGACACCCGGACGCCTTCAACAAGCTCTTCGTCATGACCAGGGTGAGCCAGACGGGTGGGCAGGGCTGCTGCAGACGGTGCAGTGAGCAGGGTACAGAAGCGGGATGGGATGCGCCCCCTGGTTAGCAGGAGTCATGTATGTTGTCGCCATGATATGGCCCAAAGAAGGACCCGCCAAGCCAGTCCTCCCTGTTCTCCTGCTGAGCGCCCGCAACTCCCTTCCCCACTCCCTACAGGGCGGTGTGGCCAAGGCCACTCGGCAGCTGCACGTGTCCGAGGACATCTTCGGCGGCATGAACCACAGTCTGCGCGGCGGCCGCATTAAGTTCCGAGAGTACATCAGCTGCGGCAAGGGCCGCGACATGGGCTTCGACTCCATCAATGCCTTCGAGTCCAAGATCAGCGCGGGCTTTGGCGAGGTGGCACTCAGCCGCGACCTGCTGCGCATGGCCGTGCGAGTGGACCTCTGGCGCTGCCTGCACCTCTACCACTCTCTAGCCGGCAACTACTTCAATACCTGGCTCGTCATGGGCTCAGTGTACGCGCACGTGTTTGCGCTGCTCTTCTTCGCACTCGCACGCGCCGCTGTGTACCACACCGTCGTCTACTGGCCCTCGCCGCCGCCGTCACCTGCCGGCACGCCCGTGGTGGCCAGCGCGGCCTCGCCCCCCGTGGTTCGTGAGACGCTGGCGTACGACACCATCCGTGTAGAGCACGTGCTGCAGCTGGGCCTACTGACGCTGCTGCCGTACTTGGCGGAGGTGGCGTTGGAGCATGGTCTGGCTCGCGGCCTTCAGGCGACGCTGGCGCAGGTGCTGAGCGGCTCCTTTGCCTTCTTCATCTTCAAGCAGCAGACCACCACCTCCGCGCTGCACTCCTCCATGCTGTACGGCGGCGCTTCCTACGTGGCCACCGGTCGCGGCTTCTCCATCACGTCCTCCTCCTTCATCAAGCTCTTCACCAACTACGGCCGCTCGCACATTGCCCTGGGCTTCGAGCTGGCGGCCATGGCGGTGGCGGTGGCGGCCACCAACGAGTGCGCGGCGTGCTCATATGGCGGCCTCACGTGGGGCACCTGGCTTGCGGGGCTGTCGCTGGTGCTGGCGCCCTGCTGGTTCAACCCCATGGCCTTCTCGCCCGGCAAGGTCAAGCGGGACATGCATGCATGGGCTGCGTGGCTGCGTGGCGAGGCGGACAGTGAGCTGGGCTGCACCTGGCACCAGTGGAACCGCCGCCTGCTGGCGCACTCGCGCAACGAGAACGGCACGCAGACGGACCGGTGGGGCAACGTGATGCAGAGTGTTGCGTTGCGCGCCGTGCCGCCCGCGCTGCTGGCCCTGGCCGCCGCTTCACGCCTCACGCTGAGTCTGGACAAGCTGACGGTGCTGCCTGGAGCCCTGCGCAGCAGCTGGATGGTGTTCCTGGTCGCCAGCGCGCTGCTGTGGGGCGGCATGGCGGCGGCCCTGAGCGCGTCTCGCCGCTTCAGTGAGCTGTCTGACCAGCGGCGGTGGCGTCTGTGGGCGTTCTGGGTGCTGGTGTCCGGCGTGGTGGGCTCGCTGGCGTTCCTGGTGGGCCTGTCCAGCTGGTACTCGGGCAACGGGCTGTCCAACCTGTGCCTCATCCTTTACGCCAACATCAACCTGCTGCTGGCGGTGCACCGCACCCTCGAGTACGTGGCTCCGCGCTCTCGTGGCGCGCGGCGGCTGGTGGACGGCGGCTACTTGGTGCTGGACTCGGTGGTTGGCTGGACCGTGCTGGGATTGCTGGGCGCGATGAGCCTGGTGGGCGTGGTGGGGCGCGTGCAGACCACAATGCTCTTCAACGTCACCTTTGCGCGCTCCGTGCGCCGAGGCAGCCTGGTCAAGACCATCGGCACGACCAAGGCAGAGCGCGGGCAGCAGGGGGCGCTGCTGGGGCTTGTGGTGGAAGCGGATGCGGTCAGCGAGGCCGGTGACGGGCGGGCCGGCAGCATGGCCAAGGGCAAGACGTCCAGGATGGCATTGCAGGCGTGTTAGGCAGGGATTCGGGTGTAGCTTACTAGCAATTGTTTCACCAGTATTGATTTGTAGCCGGTCGTACATCCCAAGCGAGCGCTGGAGAGACTAGCAAGTGCAGCGCGGTCCATGACATTTATTCCATGTATATGCTATGCAGGCGCAGTGATGTTAGTTATGCGTGCAACGGGTGATCGCCGTGTACAGTAGTAACCCTACGAATTGGTGGGGTGTACCGAGGCTTACAGAAAGCGAGAGGTACCTTCAAGAGGCACGGTGGTTGGTTGCCACCCCTTACCAGCTTACGACCCCTGCGACAATCCCACGCCATGGGCTAAGATACTAATCGTGTTTTCGGTTGTAGCAGCAGGCTTAGCACATTAGGGTTTTGGATCCCTGTGTTGTAAGCTCTGTCTAATTGTAGCATCCGCAATGGACGTCCGTATGCGACTGATGGCATGTGCTGTACACAAGCACGTCATATTTTCTTTTGACTGCTGCAACTTCTGACGCCACTTGAGAGTTTAGGAACCTGATGTCCCTTTATGCCCATCCGGGAGAATGAGTGCTGTTTGAATCGCCATGCAAGCGCCGATGGCTTAGCCGTGCTCCATGTAAAAGCCAGCCTTAACACTGCGAATTTTGGGCCCTCGCCCCGGCGCCCGTTCACTGCACCCACATGTTGCGCCAGCAGCCTCCAATCCTTGCAAGCTTAAAGCATTTTTGCTGAACCCGAACGACCCTCTGCGATCAGTCCTGGTGGCCTCGTTGTTGAGGGCTTACAATCAACAAGGCAAGAAGTGACCCATGGACCCGTGGCGGGATGGACGGACGCGAAGTTCACATCATGTGCCAGTATGTTGTTTCCTGCCAAGCGCAGATTAAGCCCCCAGGACGTCTAACTCCGTTTCCAGTTGGCGACTGCAAGTTGTCGTGCAAATACCACTCGAGTGCATTTATGCCATTGTTCCCAAACATCTTGCAACATGTGGGAGCAAGCCTTTTATGAAACGTTTATCGGCCTTTATGGGGATAGCCATGCTAACGGATCAAGTAACACAACCCTTCTCAACTGACAACCCTGCAAGCTGCTGGGCACGAGTCCGCATGCAACTTGCGCAAGTTGGGCCTGATCCCGGTAGCTTAAATATAGCGGTCAGTACAAAGAATAGTACGCACATATTACAGGGTAATCTGAATCTTATATCCTTCACTATGCATTCTTTGAGCGTACAGCAATGGTGTCGTACGAAGTTGGAAGGTCGGCTCAGACATGACGTCTTGCTTGCAGTGACAGTCCCGTCTATACGTGACCACCAGGCTCTCTCCTTACATACTTAACACGCCAACATGGCATCCTTACCAACAGTACATGCATCCTGCAAGAATACACAGCTGAACCTCCTAGGTAGGATATCCAGCTATCTATCAACAAATTTAGTCCCGAGATTCAGATACAGACTATCTAGTAGAGGACGTTCCTTGCGATTCTGCGATCATCCAAGTTGACCGACGACCTGCGAGCGCAACATTTATTTTACGGCCACAGCCTATTACTCAACTGCGGAGCACCGCATCCTTCGATTTAGTAAGTAGGTTGTCTCATATACTGCGTTGCCGAGTTATGGAGTATGGGCACAGGTTGGGAAGCAGCTGTCATTTTGACGCTAACTGTCGATTGCCATGCCAACTTACTCATCGCTTGCCTGTCTGGTTACTACTCGTCAATAGTAACGGCTACATATAACAATATGACCCGGTGACCACCCTTAATTTGGTCGCAGGCAAAATTCTCGGCACGCCAGTTACAAGATGGAGACCTGCCGTACGGACAGTCCGGTTGCTGATGAGCTTCTTATCGAGCCAGCTACGTGCATCGCGCACGAGCGTTCGAGTAACCAACGTGCCCAGCCTCCCGCTGCCCTTGCTCGCCGCCCGCTGTGCGACCGCGTCCAAAATACTAGCTGGGTGGTGGCGCGCACGTTCGGCTTCCAGGCCTTCAACTCCCGCGTCCCGGCCTCCGGCCCCTGCCAGCAGCCTTCCTGTGCGGCCCAATGGGTTCCCGCCACAGCCCTGCTTGCCGGCGATCACCTAGAGGCGCTGCTGGTGCGTAACTTCATGCCCCGCATACTCATGGAGGCTGACGGAGGTGGAGGGGACACAGCACCGAGCAGCGGCGACAGCAACGCCGTTAGCGGTGAGGGTGAGGGCTGCAAGGGAGGGCAGCAGATGAAAGAGGACGCCACTGAATCCCAGCTGCAGCAGCGTCAAGAGGCGGCGTTCGCGCGAGCCGTGTGGGAGCTACACTCGCAGATCTTCTTGCCGTATGAGGGCTCGGCGGGCTGGTGCCGGCAGGTTGGGCTGGCTGCCCGGCCCGCTGCTGTTGCTTCTGAGCTGTTGGGCGCTCAGGGCGGTGCGGATCCGCGCGTGCTGCACCTGCTGCTGAGCGAGCTGGCGCTGTACTTCCTGATCTACAGCGAGGCCGCCAACCTGCGCCACACGCCCGAGCTGACGTGGTTCCTGTTCTGGGCCGCTAACAACAGCCCGGCCATGGAGCGGCTGGTGCGGGAGGGGCTGCAGCCGGAGCAGCAGATGAACAATGCGCGGGAGCGGCGTCTGGCCATGCGAAACACTTTGCAGGTGGGCTGCGGAAGAAGAACCTGGGGGAAGGGGCTCCATTTAAACTTCGCTTTCTTGGCAGTGAACGCCTGCCAGCATTAACCCGAGCCTCGACCCCTGACTCCAACCTGTCTGTTCTCCTCCCCGTTTCGCAGTCTCATCTTTGCGCCGTACAGCAGCATCTGGGCCACGACCCCACCGCCTGCCGCCCCGAGCACAACACCGAGGTCGCCGCCAGCCTTGCCGCCCAGCTGCCCTCGCTCATCCTCTCCCTCGGCCTCCCCACCACCTCCTACTCCGCAACCTCCGCCTCCCCTGCCCCCGACTCTTCGCTCGCCTGCCCCGTCAGTCGCGCCCTGTTCTGCGACCTGTGCTGCCACGGCGACGGCTGCTGCTGGACGGACCTTGTGGTGGCGCCGCTGTTCACTGTGCTGGCGTTCGAGGTGGACCACATGGCCTCGGAGGGGCAAGAGGTGGCGCACCGCCTGGGCTACGACGACATCAATGAGTCCATGTGCCGACGTGACATCGTACGGCGCCTGCTGGAGATGCTGGGCGTCGCGGCGGCAGCGGACGCAGGCCAGGCGCATGGGGCCCTGGACGCCATTACTCGCCTGGGCTATGCGCCTGCAGTGGCCACTGACGGCGATGGAGCACCTGCCGGACGCGGCGTCCCTGCCACCTCCAGCGCCTCCGCCAACCCGCGGCTGTCTGACCCCGTGTACGCCGCCGCATTCTGGGCGGATCACGTGTTCGTGAAGACGCACCGCGAGCGCCGCAGCTGGCTGGCGCTCCTCCGCGCCTTCTACCGCGTGTACAGTCTGCAGCTGGTGCTGCTGCACGCAACCATGGCATACGCCTTCGCTCCAGGCTCGCTGCGCGCGCTGTCCAGCGCCGTACTGACGCACGCGGTGGTGGCGGCGGTTGAGCGCACCGCCAACTGGTGGCTCAACCGGGGAACACGCGACACGCTGCAGGCGGCCAAGGCCCGGGACAGCTGGGTTAGGGAGCCGGTGCCCGCAAGCAAGGCGGATGAGGGGGATGCGGAGGCCGGCAAGCCCGAGGCCGCCGCCGTCGCGCCTGCGGCCCCACGGCGCAGCCGCCTGTCTGACGGCGGCGCAGTGGAAGAGCGCATGGAGCGTCGTCGGCGTGTGGCGGTGGAGGGCTCTCCCGTGCACAGCGTGTTCGGCTGGCTGGAGTGGGTGGTGGTGGCCGTGGCCATGCTGGCGCTGTTTGCGCTGCAGCATGTGGGTCCAGCGTCGCTGCAGCCCCTGGCCCACAAGTTCTGGCCTCTAGCAGCCGGAGGCTATGTGGCGATGGTGGCAGTGCACGGGCTGCTCACCACGCGTGACGGCTACTGCGTGTCGCTCAGCAGTGCGCTGCGGCTGCCGGCGTTCTGCCGCGCCTCCTCGCAGCGCCCCACGGCTGGCTGCTGGCTGGAGCAGCCCATGGCGGTGGGGTGGCGCGCCGCTCTGCTGACGACGCTGTTCTGGATGCAGGTGCTGGGGGCCAAGCTTGCCTTCGACTACTTCGTTATCATGAAGCCCATGGCTGGGCAGGTGCGCCTGATCCTGCATCGCAACTGGCTGGGCTGCTCGGGCCACTACCGGCTGTTCGGTGCGGAGCTGCCGCTCCGTTGCCTGGACGGCGATTTCCTTTTGGTGATGCTGCGTGTGGCGCCCTTCGTGCTGGTCAGCCTGGTGGACACGCAGATCTTCTATCAGATGGTGCTTATGGTGTGGGGCGTCGTCCACGGACTCGTGTCCCTCAACTTGGGCGTGGCGGGCTCGTGGGAGGCGCTGCGGGCGGAGTTCCACCGTGCACCGCTCAGGTGGTGGGCGCGCTGCATGAGCCCCGCAGCCAACGAAGCAGCTAGGGCAGCAGCTGCGGCACACCGCGTAAAACGTGATGCAGGTGTTGGCATCACCTGCGGCGCCGGTGGGGCCTGCTCCGACGACGAGGAGGATGAGGAGTACGGCAGTGTCTATGCCGGGCTCAATGCGGGCATGCGCTCCTCTACCTGCAGCCTTTCCAGCCTAGCAAGCAGCTCCGCTGGTAGCGCCAGCGACTCGCCAAAGCCGCGAGCACGGCGGGTGGCGGCGTTGGGCCCATATGCTCCCTCTGCGGCAGCGAACTCCAGCGGCGATGGCGATTCTTCCTCCGTCTCCTCCGCTTCCACGGGCAGCAGCAAGAGCAAGGGCAAGCTGCGGGGTTCTCGTGCCCGTGACGCCGCGGCAGCCGCTGAGCTGGTCGCCATGCTATCGGGTCAGGGCGATGAGCAGCTGGCACAGTGGATGGCATTCGCTGCGGCCTGGGACGCGGTGGTAGAGGACCTGCGAGCCTGCGACCTCATTAGCGACCGGGAGAAGTCCAACTTGCTCTTCACGCGCTTGCCTGCCGCAGCCACCGCAATGGTCGCAGCCACCTCCAAGCCCGATGCGCCATCCGTCAGCGGCGGAAGCTCCTCCGGCGGCTCCTTCACCACCGGCGCCGCCTCGACCTCCTCCGCCTCCGCCCGACCGCTGCGGCCACTGCTGCTGCCCGCCTTCTTCTACGCAGGCAAGGTGCAGGCCGTGGTGGACTCGGGCTCCGCCAGCCCCTCGCAGGAGCTGGTGCTGGGTGAGCTGCGTGCGCTGCTGGTGTGGCTGGGATGCCAGCTTGGGCTGCTGGACGGGACGCAGGCGGCGACCATGCTGGCGGCAGTTTGCTGTCCGTCCACGATCGACGTGGCGCATGCTCGCAGCCGTGAGAAGGGGCTGACGGCGCTGCGGCGGCTGTTGGCGTCAATGCAGGCGCTTAACGGGCCGGTGGCGGCGTCTATGTCAGATGCGGACCTATCTCAGTGGCGCCAGTCGCGTCTTGCAGATGCGAAGGCGGCCCTGGATGAGGTTCTGGCGGCGGCGGAGGTTGAGGCACGCGCCGTGGTGCGGGCGCAGCTGGGTGTTTCCAAGAAGGGCGGCAAGAAGGCGGACAAGACGGTGCAGAGCGAGCAGCAGCAGCAGCAGGGGCCGGACGCTGGCCATGAGGATGTTGCGGTTGCAGACCCGCAGGCGGCTGCTTCGGCGCTGCTGGAGGTATTGGCGTCGCTGCGCACCAGCCTGTCCAAGCAGCCCGAGCGGCTGATGGCGGCGTTGATGCTGCTGCACCCCGAGGGTTGCCAAGCCGCTGCATCCCCTGTGGAGCTGTCGCTGGTGCGCCGCGTGCTGTCTACTGCCGTTAAAATGGTGAACCTAAGCAGCGCGGCGGCACAGCCGACCGGCGCCGAAGCCCGCCGCATCCTGGGCTTCTTCGTCACCTCCCTCGCCAACCGCCAGTTGGGCAAGCCGGCGCCCGTGGCAGCCATGACCTCTTGGACGGTGCTTACGCCCATGTACGCGGAGGACGTGCTGTTCCCGCTGGAGGCGCGCACGGCGGCTGAGGCGGTGGGGCTGGATGTCAGCGGCAAGGGCGACCTGTCCTCCGCGCTGCCCGACCTGCTCACGGAGACAGAGGAGCGTGTGTCGTTGATGTCGTACATCCGCTCCATGTTCCCCAAGGACTGGGACAACTTCAAGGAGCGTCTGGGCGCCAGCCTGGGTGGCCTGGACCTACGCAACGTCACGGAGGCGGACTTCGCGGAGGGCGGCGCGCTGGCGGAGCATGCGTTGGCGCTGCAGCTGTGGGCCTCCTACCGTGGCCAGCTGCTGGCGCGCACCGTGCGCGGCATGGCGGCGTATGAGCGCGCCCTGCGGGTGCTTGCGGCGCTGGACAGCCCGCGCCCTGCGGGGGTGAGCCGGCGGGAGCACGCGGCGGCGGTGGAGGACGTGGTGGGCGCCAAGTTCACGCACGTGGTGGCCAGCCAGCTGTACGGCAAGAACCGCCGCTCCACCAACCTGCGCGACCGCTGGCAGGTGGAGAGCACGGACGTCCTGCTGGAGGCGTTCCCGCACTTGCGTGTGTCATACTTGGACGAGGTTTCGGCGGCGGAGGTGGAGGCGCGCAGGGGCGGTGTCATGGCCCCGAATGCGCCTCCGGAGCACCAGTATGCGGTGCTCATTCGCGGCCGGCAAAGCGGGCATGAGCGCACTGAGGAGCTGTACCGGGTCCGTCTGCCTTACAACCGCTACAGCAAGCGCGGCGTGATCCTGGGCGAGGGCAAGCCCGAGAACCAGAACCACGCGGCCATCTTCTGCTTCGGTGAGGCGCTGCAGACCATCGATATGAACCAGGACAACGCCCTGGCGGAGGCGCTCAAGATGCGCAACCTGCTGAAGGAGCTGTCGCCCGAGCTGGACACGCGGGCGGCCAGGAGGGCTGCGGATGCGCTGCAACAGGCGGTCAAGGGGACCTCGCTGCCCCCTGCTTCTGAGATGAAGCGGCTGCTGGGTGGTCTGCGCAGTACGGAGCGGCCCGTTGCGGTGGTGGGCTTCCGCGAGTGGGTGTTCAGCGACAAGGCGGGTGCGCTGGGCAGCTTCGCCGCCAGCAGTGAGTTCGCGTTCTCCACCATGGTGCAGCGGACCATGGCCTACCCCGCCAACGTGCGCCTGCACTACGGACACCCGGACGCCTTCAACAAGCTCTTCGTCATGACCAGGGTGAGCCAGACGGGTGGGCAGGGCTGCTGCAGACGGTGCAGTGAGCAGGGTACAGAAGCGGGATGGGATGCGCCCCCTGGTTAGCAGGAGTCATGTATGTTGTCGCCATGATATGGCCCAAAGAAGGACCCGCCAAGCCAGTCCTCCCTGTTCTCCTGCTGAGCGCCCGCAACTCCCTTCCCCACTCCCTACAGGGCGGTGTGGCCAAGGCCACTCGGCAGCTGCACGTGTCCGAGGACATCTTCGGCGGCATGAACCACAGTCTGCGCGGCGGCCGCATTAAGTTCCGAGAGTACATCAGCTGCGGCAAGGGCCGCGACATGGGCTTCGACTCCATCAATGCCTTCGAGTCCAAGATCAGCGCGGGCTTTGGCGAGGTGGCACTCAGCCGCGACCTGCTGCGCATGGCCGTGCGAGTGGACCTCTGGCGCTGCCTGCACCTCTACCACTCTCTAGCCGGCAACTACTTCAATACCTGGCTCGTCATGGGCTCAGTGTACGCGCACGTGTTTGCGCTGCTCTTCTTCGCACTCGCACGCGCCGCTGTGTACCACACCGTCGTCTACTGGCCCTCGCCGCCGCCGTCACCTGCCGGCACGCCCGTGGTGGCCAGCGCGGCCTCGCCCCCCGTGGTTCGTGAGACGCTGGCGTACGACACCATCCGTGTAGAGCACGTGCTGCAGCTGGGCCTACTGACGCTGCTGCCGTACTTGGCGGAGGTGGCGTTGGAGCATGGTCTGGCTCGCGGCCTTCAGGCGACGCTGGCGCAGGTGCTGAGCGGCTCCTTTGCCTTCTTCATCTTCAAGCAGCAGACCACCACCTCCGCGCTGCACTCCTCCATGCTGTACGGCGGCGCTTCCTACGTGGCCACCGGTCGCGGCTTCTCCATCACGTCCTCCTCCTTCATCAAGCTCTTCACCAACTACGGCCGCTCGCACATTGCCCTGGGCTTCGAGCTGGCGGCCATGGCGGTGGCGGTGGCGGCCACCAACGAGTGCGCGGCGTGCTCATATGGCGGCCTCACGTGGGGCACCTGGCTTGCGGGGCTGTCGCTGGTGCTGGCGCCCTGCTGGTTCAACCCCATGGCCTTCTCGCCCGGCAAGGTCAAGCGAGACATGCATGCATGGGCTGCGTGGCTGCGTGGCGAGGCGGACAGTGAGCTGGGCTGCACCTGGCACCAGTGGAACCGCCGCCTGCTGGCGCACTCGCGCAACGAGAACGGCACGCAGACGGACCGGTGGGGCAACGTGATGCAGAGTGTTGCGTTGCGCGCCGTGCCGCCCGCGCTGCTGGCCCTGGCCGCCGCTTCACGCCTCACGCTGAGTCTGGACAAGCTGACGGTGCTGCCTGGAGCCCTGCGCAGCAGCTGGATGGTGTTCCTGGTCGCCAGCGCGCTGCTGTGGGGCGGCATGGCGGCGGCCCTGAGCGCGTCTCGCCGCTTCAGTGAGCTGTCTGACCAGCGGCGGTGGCGTCTGTGGGCGTTCTGGGTGCTGGTGTCCGGCGTGGTGGGCTCGCTGGCGTTCCTGGTGGGCCTGTCCAGCTGGTACTCGGGCAACGGGCTGTCCAACCTGTGCCTCATCCTTTACGCCAACATCAACCTGCTGCTGGCGGTGCACCGCACCCTCGAGTACGTGGCTCCGCGCTCTCGTGGCGCGCGGCGGCTGGTGGACGGCGGCTACTTGGTGCTGGACTCGGTGGTTGGCTGGACCGTGCTGGGATTGCTGGGCGCGATGAGCCTGGTGGGCGTGGTGGGGCGCGTGCAGACCACAATGCTCTTCAACGTCACCTTTGCGCGCTCCGTGCGCCGAGGCAGCCTGGTCAAGACCATCGGCACGACCAAGGCAGAGCGCGGGCAGCAGGGGGCGCTGCTGGGGCTTGTGGTGGAAGCGGATGCGGTCAGCGAGGCCGGTGACGGGCGGGCCGGCAGCATGGCCAAGGGCAAGACGTCCAGGATGGCATTGCAGGCGTGTTAGGCAGGGATTCGGGTGTAGCTTACTAGCAATTGTTTCACCAGTATTGATTTGTAGCCGGTCGTACATCCCAAGCGAGCGCTGGAGAGACTAGCAAGTGCAGCGCGGTCCATGACATTTATTCCATGTATATGCTATGCAGGCGCAGTGATGTTAGTTATGCGTGCAACGGGTGATCGCCGTGTACAGTAGTAACCCTACGAATTGGTGGGGTGTACCGAGGCTTACAGAAAGCGAGAGGTACCTTCAAGAGGCACGGTGGTTGGTTGCCACCCCTTACCAGCTTACGACCCCTGCGACAATCCCACGCCATGGGCTAAGATACTAATCGTGTTTTCGGTTGTAGCAGCAGGCTTAGCACATTAGGGTTTTGGATCCCTGTGTTGTAAGCTCTGTCTAATTGTAGCATCCGCAATGGACGTCCGTATGCGACTGATGGCATGTGCTGTACACATGCACGTCATATTTTCTTTTGACTGCTGCAACTTCTGACGCCACTTGAGAGTTTAGGAACCTGATGTCCCTTTATGCCCATCCGGGAGAATGAGTGCTGTTTGAATCGCCATGCAAGCGCCGATGGCTTAGCCGTGCTCCATGTAAAAGCCAGCCTTAACACTGCGAATTTTGGGCCCTCGCCCCGGCGCCCGTTCACTGCACCCACATGTTGCGCCAGCAGCCTCCAATCCTTGCAAGCTTAAAGCATTTTTGCTGAACCCGAACGACCCTCTGCGATCAGTCCTGGTGGCCTCGTTGTTGAGGGCTTACAATCAACAAGGCAAGAAGTGACCCATGGACCCGTGGCGGGATGGACGGACGCGAAGTTCACATCATGTGCCAGTATGTTGTTTCCTGCCAAGCGCAGATTAAGCCCCCAGGACGTCTAACTCCGTTTCCAGTTGGCGACTGCAAGTTGTCGTGCAAATACCACTCGAGTGCATTTATGCCATTGTTCCCAAACATCTTGCAACATGTGGGAGCAAGCCTTTTATGAAACGTTTATCGGCCTTTATGGGGATAGCCATGCTAACGGATCAAGTAACACAACCCTTCTCAACTGACAACCCTGCAAGCTGCTGGGCACGAGTCCGCATGCAACTTGCGCAAGTTGGGCCTGATCCCGGTAGCTTAAATATAGCGGTCAGTACAAAGAATAGTACGCACATATTACAGGGTAATCTGAATCTTATATCCTTCACTATGCATTCTTTGAGCGTACAGCAATGGTGTCGTACGAAGTTGGAAGGTCGGCTCAGACATGACGTCTTGCTTGCAGTGACAGTCCCGTCTATACGTGACCACCAGGCTCTCTCCTTACATACTTAACACGCCAACATGGCATCCTTACCAACAGTACATGCATCCTGCAAGAATACACAGCTGAACCTCCTAGGTAGGATATCCAGCTATCTATCAACAAATTTAGTCCCGAGATTCAGATACAGACTATCTAGTAGAGGACGTTCCTTGCGATTCTGCGATCATCCAAGTTGACCGACGACCTGCGAGCGCAACATTTATTTTACGGCCACAGCCTATTGCTCAACTGCGGAGCACCGCATCCTTCGATTTAGTAAGTAGGTTGTCTCATATACTGCGTTGCCGAGTTATGGAGTATGGGCACAGGTTGGGAAGCAGCTGTCATTTTGACGCTAACTGTCGATTGCCATGCCAACTTACTCATCGCTTGCCTGTCTGGTTACTACTCGTCAATAGTAACGGCTACATATAACAATATGACCCGGTGACCACCCTTAATTTGGTCGCAGGCAAAATTCTCGGCACGCCAGTTACAAGATGGAGACCTGCCGTACGGACAGTCCGGTTGCTGATGAGCTTCTTATCGAGCCAGCTACGTGCATCGCGCACGAGCGTTCGAGTAACCAACGTGCCCAGCCTCCCGCTGCCCTTGCTCGCCGCCCGCTGTGCGACCGCGTCCAAAATACTAGCTGGGTGGTGGCGCGCACGTTCGGCTTCCAGGCCTTCAACTCCCGCGTCCCGGCCTCCGGCCCCTGCCAGCAGCCTTCCTGTGCGGCCCAATGGGTTCCCGCCACAGCCCTGCTTGCCGGCGATCACCTAGAGGCGCTGCTGGTGCGTAACTTCATGCCCCGCATACTCATGGAGGCTGACGGAGGTGGAGGGGACACAGCACCGAGCAGCGGCGACAGCAACGCCGTTAGCGGTGAGGGTGAGGGCTGCAAGGGAGGGCAGCAGATGAAAGAGGACGCCACTGAATCCCAGCTGCAGCAGCGTCAAGAGGCGGCGTTCGCGCGAGCCGTGTGGGAGCTACACTCGCAGATCTTCTTGCCGTATGAGGGCTCGGCGGGCTGGTGCCGGCAGGTTGGGCTGGCTGCCCGGCCCGCTGCTGTTGCTTCTGAGCTGTTGGGCGCTCAGGGCGGTGCGGATCCGCGCGTGCTGCACCTGCTGCTGAGCGAGCTGGCGCTGTACTTCCTGATCTACAGCGAGGCCGCCAACCTGCGCCACACGCCCGAGCTGACGTGGTTCCTGTTCTGGGCCGCTAACAACAGCCCGGCCATGGAGCGGCTGGTGCGGGAGGGGCTGCAGCCGGAGCAGCAGATGAACAATGCGCGGGAGCGGCGTCTGGCCATGCGAAACACTTTGCAGGTGGGCTGCGGAAGAAGAACCTGGGGGAAGGGGCTCCATTTAAACTTCGCTTTCTTGGCAGTGAACGCCTGCCAGCATTAACCCGAGCCTCGACCCCTGACTCCAACCTGTCTGTTCTCCTCCCCGTTTCGCAGTCTCATCTTTGCGCCGTACAGCAGCATCTGGGCCACGACCCCACCGCCTGCCGCCCCGAGCACAACACCGAGGTCGCCGCCAGCCTTGCCGCCCAGCTGCCCTCGCTCATCCTCTCCCTCGGCCTCCCCACCACCTCCTACTCCGCAACCTCCGCCTCCCCTGCCCCCGACTCTTCGCTCGCCTGCCCCGTCAGTCGCGCCCTGTTCTGCGACCTGTGCTGCCACGGCGACGGCTGCTGCTGGACGGACCTTGTGGTGGCGCCGCTGTTCACTGTGCTGGCGTTCGAGGTGGACCACATGGCCTCGGAGGGGCAAGAGGTGGCGCACCGCCTGGGCTACGACGACATCAATGAGTCCATGTGCCGACGTGACATCGTACGGCGCCTGCTGGAGATGCTGGGCGTCGCGGCGGCAGCGGACGCAGGCCAGGCGCATGGGGCCCTGGACGCCATTACTCGCCTGGGCTATGCGCCTGCAGTGGCCACTGACGGCGATGGAGCACCTGCCGGACGCGGCGTCCCTGCCACCTCCAGCGCCTCCGCCAACCCGCGGCTGTCTGACCCCGTGTACGCCGCCGCATTCTGGGCGGATCACGTGTTCGTGAAGACGCACCGCGAGCGCCGCAGCTGGCTGGCGCTCCTCCGCGCCTTCTACCGCGTGTACAGTCTGCAGCTGGTGCTGCTGCACGCAACCATGGCATACGCCTTCGCTCCAGGCTCGCTGCGCGCGCTGTCCAGCGCCGTACTGACGCACGCGGTGGTGGCGGCGGTTGAGCGCACCGCCAACTGGTGGCTCAACCGGGGAACACGCGACACGCTGCAGGCGGCCAAGGCCCGGGACAGCTGGGTTAGGGAGCCGGTGCCCGCAAGCAAGGCGGATGAGGGGGATGC